CACATGTCCTCAGTGACATGGAAGCTAGGAGCTGTACCTGCATGTGGGTTAGAGGTAGAAGGTGTCGTGTGTGGTGGTGAAAAATGGGGTGGTTCCTCTGTTTGGAAATCATACTCATCATCAGTGTTGTTACCCTCATTTAAAGGTAGATTTGGGGGCAACGGACCAATAAAAGCAGGAGCATTGAGATCGTAGGTCCAGTTACGCTCAAATCTAATATCAGTACGACGGGTGCAAGGCATAACAACACTGGGTATAGCAGCACCTCCAACCATTAGGAAGTAACCACCTTCCTTCCTCGTCTTGCATAAACGCATATCCCTGAAAAATTTAAGATTTGCAATCCGAGGAGGAAGTGGTTCTAGGGTGGCAAGTTCCGTATCCAATCCTATGGCACGGGCAATAGTGGTAATCAGTCCACCAAAGGAAATCGGCCCACCTTTTCTTAAAACATGGTGCATGTGGGCAATCATGAATGGGACGGGATTAACTTTGGTGTCTGTGAGGCAGCTCTGCATGATAATTAATTCTTTAGCATTCACCTTGTTTGGGTTTTCCCGAGCAAAGATGGTGGATGCTAAAAGAATTCTAAAGACACGAAGGGCAGGATTGTGGATGTGAGAAGCAAGAAGGCCATCAAAAGATGTTGCATTTAGTTTAGTAATTCTGGCCCAAAATGCTTCAAATGCCCAATCCGTGTCTAAAGGTGCTTCACAAATGGCACCATCCCCATAAGGCAATCCTAACATGGCGGCTAGACCGTCAGTGGAGTAAGCTGGAAGCAACAACTTATGTCAGTAACATGAATTATTTCTCTTTGATTTTTGAGATTGGTGCTTCTTTGAGAATATACCTGATTCCCTTTTCGATGAACATTCAACATTCCTTAGAACTGCTGATGTTTCTTTGGAAACAGTCACAATAGTTCTTTTGTTGAGTAGATTGGCTTAAGATGATATCTTCCTTTGGTTTTGTATTCAGATGGACTATATTATGTTGATTTGAAGTGAGTCCAGAATATCGTTCTTTCTTTTATCCATTCTTGTAATGGAATACTTCTGATGTTGAGTTGAAGTGCATATTCCATAAACTATATGAGTCTTCAGAAACTTGGTGTTGTCTTCAGAAATGTGAGGAGCAACTCTTCTGATGAATAGGTCTTGTCTTCTGATGCGGAAGTAGAAGCTTTCTCTTCATGTGTTCTGAGTCTTGACTTTGTCTTTAGAATTATAAGAAGCAACTTTTCTACGAAACTAGTCATGTCTTATGACCCTCGCGTTTGAAGGTTGTTTCTTGTTTCCTATTTGATTTATGATCTTGAAGCAACAACTTATCATAAATTCTTTCTTCTCATAACTTGTGACTTCCAAGACAACAGCTTGTTCAGAAGTATATATCTAATCCTCTTTATGGCGAACATCCAGCATTCTTCCGAACTTCTAATGTTTCTTCAGAAGTGGACAGTCTTTCTGATGTGCTTTGTATTTCTGATTCCCCAAACAACAGTCCTGAATCAATTAGAATTTCTTATCTTCACACTCAATGAAACCATTATAACTAAAATTGTTCTTCATAAAATATATGCATTGTTATCATCAAAACATATATATTTAAACAGAGACCCAAATCTTATTCTAACAATCTTCCCCTTTTTGATGATGACAAAACCATGTATTTTGATGAAACAATTTTACAGGGTTAATTATAAACAAATTAATATAATAGTTTATAAAACTCCCCCTGAGTTAGAAAACTCTCCTGGGATAAAACAACTCCCCATAAATCATAAACTTGTGATCTTTCTTAGCTTAAGGGCATTATTATCCTTTCTCAGAACTCTTATTGAACCATGTGGAAGCGATTTATCAGATTTTGCTTTATCATTGATTATTTCCTCATTAGAACCTTATAATCATCAGATAGGTGCATTATCATAGCTTGATCTATTAGACCCTTCAGTTTGATGTTCGCTATCAACACTCGATCTCTTAGAACATCATATACCTTTGAATTTCTTTTATCAGAGTTTGATCAACCGACCCCTTCAAAACATTTGAAGTCCTTTTATCACAATTTGATTTATTGAACCTTCTCAATTTTAGAAGTTCTTAATTCATTTACCTTGTACCTGAAATACATTTCTAAAGGTTTCTGCATATATATATATATATATATATATATATATATATATATAATATATATATTTTATATTATATATAGATTATATATAATATATATAAATATATATATATATAATATATATATATATATATATATATATATATAATATATATATATATATATATAATATATATATAATATATATATATATATATATATATATATATATATATATATAGATATATATATATATTATATATATATATATATATATATATATATATATTTATATATCAAGAGCTATATTTCAAAAGCAAATTAAATCCTAGAGTTCATCAGAAGTAGAGGGTTTTGATTCTTTTGAATAAGTTTTTGGAGCATTTTTTTGATAAAGTTATTGATATCCTTCTGATTTTACAGTGTTTCTTTTATCAACAAATATTCCTTTTGCATTTCCTCAAGAGTTTTTAGAAAACAAATGAACACACCAGAACTATTTTGGGAAAATTCTTCTAACTCTTCTTGTTCCTTTCTCGCAGCTTCTCTAGTATCCTCTTTCGCTTTCTTAGCAGCTTCTCGCTCCACAACCTTCTGAGCTTCTATAGCCAAAAATATCTCTTAAGCTTCTTTGACATGTATTTATTTAGTCTTACCCGAGATATTTTGAAATGTGATGAATTCAATTGATATCCATCTTGTTAAGAAGTACACATATAATCCTCTTTCTGGCGAACATTCAGCGTTCTTCTGGACTGCTAATGTTTCTTCAAAAGTGGACAATCTTTTTGATATGCTTGGGTATTTCTAATTCTCCAGACAACAGTCCTGAATCAATTAGAATTTCTTATCTGCACACTTAATGAAACCATTAGAACTAAAATTGTTCTTCATAAAATATATGCATTGTTATCATCAAAACATAGATATTTAAACAGACACCTAAATCTTGTTCTAACAAAAATCTCAAGAGTTTTTTTGGTTATCGTGTTAAACCAATTGAGCTAAGACATATTTTTGGAACTTGAAGACTAACCGCTACAAGGTACATATTCATGGAGAGAAGACTAACCGATTCAATCTACAGTTGGGGAAGGAAGCTTGACCACTTCAATTTCAACAATTTATTGAAAAAGATGCAAACGCCTATATATGTCGTCTTGTATCATTATAGTTATAGGACAACCACCATTTTCATGTATAAGGGGGTTCTTGAGTCTTTCCTACTAAAATCTCTCAAGTATTAATGAAAAATATCAAGATCAAATATCTTCATGTGATTTGTTTATTTATATTTTATTTTTGTTGTTGTTATATATATTTTGAGGAAAACAGAAAAAAAAAATATTTATTTATTTATTTAACAGAAATATATAATTATATTTAAAAATTAAAAATATAATATATATTTTTAAAATAGAAAAATAAAACAGAAAAATAATTTATAATAGAAAACAGAAAATATTATATATGTATATAATATATTTTTTAAACAGAATTATTAATATTTTTATGTTTTTGTAAATTATATATGTTTTGTAAATTATATACAAAAAAAAAAAAAACACACACACACACATATATATATATATATTATATATATATATATATAAATATATATATATATATATATATATATATATATATATATATATATATATATATATATATATATATATATATATATATATATATATATATATATATATATATATATATATATATATATATATATATATATATATATATATATATATATATATATATATATTATATATATATATATATATATATATATATATATATATATATATATATATATATATATATATATATATATATATATATATATATATATATATATATATATATATATATATATATATATATATATATATATATAAATTAAAAAAGAAAAATAAAACAAAGATAGAATATTTAGTTATAAAAAATTATAATATTATATAGTTATAAAATTTAAAAATAAAATTACGTGAAATAGTATTTTTTAAACATAAATTCAAAATTATAGAATATATGATAATCATATGTAATGTGATATATTTATTATTTATAATAGTTATTTATAAAAAATATTAGTTATTATATGTTTAGTTAAAAAAAACAAATTTTGTATGGTTATAAAAGAAAAAAAAATTTCAGTTATTAATTTAAAAAAAAAAAAAGTAATATATCAGTGACGTGATAATCACGTCGCAACCTAATTTTTATATAAAAAAAATACTGAAGAATGAATATTAAACGTAATTATTTAGCGACGTGATTTTCACGTCACTAATTCGTAACGTGAAAATGAGAAATCACGTTGCAAATAATTTAACACCCCCTCTCCAGTCACGTGATCATGCACGTCGCAAATAATTTGTTGTCATGTGTTGTGACGTGATTTTTTAAATTGTGACGTGAAATTTACGTCTCAAATGAGAATATTTTTTATAGTGATTCTTTAACTTATAAATGCTCAAATCCGTTATAGAATTAAAGGAAGATTTGCTCCATGGGAAGATAATGACACCATTTATTCTTCCAATGGCTCTTGGGAAATATGACTACCTCACTGAAGATAGATCGGTGCATCTTGGCCATAAATTTAATCTTTTTTTACCTACTGAGTGAAACAACGAAAACGTTAATGTCTTTTATCACAAATGACGTCAAATGATTCAATATGAGCCATTCTAGTTCAAAGGAATGTTAAGGCTTCTAGTATAATTTATTTGTCATTAAAAAAGTGATAATAAAGGGATCATCAAAGGAATGTTAAGGCTTCTAGTATAATTTATTTGTCATTAAAAAAGTGATAATAAAGGGATGATGAGTACAAATAAAATGTTAACTGTAAAAGAAATTGCATAAACAAAATACTAAAAAAGCACACACATATATATAATATATATTTTATTGATATGCATAACACAATTCAAGAGGCAGTCTTCACAAGACACATACAAAAGAAACAACAACATAAGCCAACATGCATACACAACAACATCATTATTCAAACATCACACTTATTTAATTATAAAGGTGACCACTTAGTTAAGCCAACCCCAAAAGGTTGCACTAAGCCATTGTACTTCTTCAATTCTTTCGAGCGGCCCTTACTTTGGAAAGATTAGCATCAATGTCTCTAGTACATTTGCCAAGGTATTCCATCCATCCATTTGGAGGCTCAATATCCTTATTGATTTTCTCATATTCGATTGTCCATTTAACAGCAGCGGTACCATCAGCCTTATCACTTACTTCAAGGATCAGCTTAAACACCTTATAGTGCTTACCAATGTCTCCACCAAACACCTTCCACGTCATCTTTTTGTTCTCTTCATCAACTTCTTCAATACTCTCATAACATGTGTGTACCTCATCACCTGTTGCCAAGTCAAGGGTAATTAATACAAAGAAGAATAAAAAAAATTCTACATAAGAATTATAGAAAACAACACCTACATAAACAAGATGATATGGTTTACATGTTAAATGAATTAGAAACAGTTTTACCTATGACATATGTCCAGTGTTTAACTGTTTCAGTGTCATGCCAGTCTTCACCTTCATGTAACTTGGTATGATGAATTCTTTCACAATGGTTTTGAACTTCGTGAAGTTCTGATTGAAATAGTTTGTAAAACCTTTCAGCCTTTGTTTTGATACCAAGTTCAGTTATAAGTTTACCCAAGAGCACCATTTTTGGAAAGAAAAACTACCAGATGAAAGAGAAGAAACAAAGGTTGATGAGAGGAAAGTGTATTCAACCCTATGTCTTAAATAGAAACTGAATTTACACTTTTTAAGCATCAATTCGAATTACATTTTTTTCTTTAGTATTAAAATTACTTAATTATACTATCGATTATAATTAATGTTACATTAAATTAAATTATCTACCCTAAAAGTAGGGTTGGTTAAATGAGTAGCCTTCCACTCTACTCCATTTTAAACCTGGTAAAAAAAGTAGAGCAAATAAGTCTCTCAAATTAAAATAGATATTAAAAATCTAATCCTACTAGTCAATGTTGTATTTTGCATATATATATATATATATATATATATATATATATATATATATATATATATATATATATATATATATATATATATATATATATATATATATATATATATATATATATATATATATATATATATATATATATATATATATATATATAAAATCATCAAAAATTAGAATTAACATAATTAATTAATAAGAGCGACCTTAAGGATAGATATGCTGAACAAATAGGTGGAGCGGACTTTGGTGGGCGATAAATTTTGATGGAGTTGGTTTAGGGAACAACGGACTTTGGAGAAACAGACTTTATTGGACGACAAACCTAAAATTCCAATCTAATCCACTATTTTTTGACGGATGCGTAAGCCGGTCCAACAGACCACAACCCATTTTACCACCCCTACCTAAAAGGTTACATTATTAATTATATCTTTTTTATGAAAATCATTATTTAGATTAAAATAGTAAGATTTTGAAAATCAATATTTTTTTGCGGGGTTGGCTTTAGCGAACAACGGGCTTTGACGGAATAAACTTTGTTGGGCGACAAACCTAAAATTTTAATCCAATCCACCATTTTTTAATGTATGCACAGATCAGCCCAACAGACCACAATCCATTTTACCACCCCCTACCTAAAAGGTTACATTATTAATTATATCTTTTTATGAAAATCATTTTTTATATTAAAATAGTAAGATTTTGAAAATTAATATTCTTTTTTCTTTCACACTCTAGTTCTCAAGAAAAAAGGGCCATAGTAATCTAGAGCTCGTGCTACGGAGGCACGTGACTGGCCTAGTAAGGTTTTAAAAATCAATATTAGACGAACTAAAATCTACCATATAAGAACTTAAATAGTTCTGGAAAAGACCACCATAGCCTTGGAAATATGTTGTCCACGATAGCCTTTAAATGAGAAATCTGGTCTTTTGCTACCCCTCCTACAACTAAACCACGTTTGTTTACATTCTAACTATAATGTTAGGCATGAAAATTATTAAACTACCTCTATTGGATAACTAGATCCCCAACAATTGTTAAAGCTGCAATCAAACTACTCTTCCTCTGCCCTATATTTTTTTTTCTGGTCTTCATCTGCTATTTGGACTCAGATATCGAACTGTCCCATCTATTGAGAGGCATGGATAATACAACCTAACACTCTCACTTTTTTTATTTGTTACTTTTGTCTCACTTCCTTTCTTTGTTATCTCATCGCTTCATATCTTGCAAACTTCCTTTCTTTCTTACTATCAACACCTCCAACCAACCCTATCCAAGACTGTGTAAATGACGAGACTTTTTGACAACATAGGCGACATAAATGAACATAAAGATTTGTGGAAGCTCGTCGTAAGGATACATCACAAGTGGACGGTGCTGACGACAAACAAGGAGCATTTTGAGATGGTTATAGTAGATAAACACGTGAGTTTCATTGTCCAAACCCTAAAATCTAATTACTTGTATGTTCTAGTTTTATAGGTATTTAATGTTGTTCATTGTTGTTTTAGAAAGATGCATATTTTTTTTGTTGGTATTTGCTCTGTTTGTTTTGTGTTTTATTCGTTTATTGCATTTTGTGATTTGTTTATTTATTACTTTCACTAGTGCATAAATGACTTTTTACATCGGGTGAAACTGACTTTTTACATCGGTTCTGGGTCCGATGTAAAGTCAGACGATATAGTAAATCAGGGATTTTTTACATCCGTTCTGGGACCGATGTAAAAAATCTCTTTTTTACATCGGTAATAATATAAGAACCGATGTAATAAACTGTTATTATGCACATTTTTTAAAAAATTGATCCAGTTTTTTACATCGGTTGTAAGTAATACCCGATGTAAAAAGTCCCTTTTTTACATCGGTTATAATATATGAACCAATGTAAGAAACAGTTATTATGCACATTTTTTAAAAAAATTGATCCAGTTTTTTACATCGGTTGGAAGTAATACCCGGTGTAAAAAGTCTCCAGTGACGCAAGTTTTTACATCGGTTATTATCCCCAACCGATGTAAAAAGTCCCTTTTTGAAAGTTTTTACATCAGTTTTTACTAATAACCGATGTAAAATGTATGGAATTTTTTTGGAATAGATTATTTATTTTCTGGATGTTTCCCTGTACAAATATAATTTGTACCCATTTTTTCATATTTTTCCAATATCATACAGACTATATTTATGTCGCTATATAGATTTCATAGCTTTCCAACATCACATATATCACATCTAGGTCGATGTTTTCATATTTTTCACAACAAACTTACAAATTGAACAATTGTATTGTAAACTTGTATTGTATTACAACAAACAAACTTACAATTACAAATTCTTCATAAAATATACAACAATATTCAACTATTTATAAGTCTTTTTTCAAAACTTACAATTACATATTATTCACAAAATATACAAAAATATTCAACTATTTATAAGTTTCCAAACTTATATTACCAATATAAAATCTTCGGTAGACAACACCAAAATCACATTGCCTGACAATAAATAATAACAATTAACATCAGCAAAAAAATCAAGAAACTCAAATGTGCAAAAACCATATGTATTGTGCAAAAACCACAACTTATACAATTCTATAAAACTCACCAAGATAAACTTAATTTGCATGTAACTCAAAGAAACATTTTGCCCAACGAAGTCGCAAATCATACAAATCATCTTGTGTTAATTCTGTTGGGTCATCAAATACCTATAATACATAAATATAACAATATAGAGTTAATTTTTAAAAATTCATATTAAGTCCCATTATCTTTTTGAAATTACCAGCCTTTTTGTTTCATCAAAGTTTATATTATTTTGTATTTTCTTAAAAAGGGTATTTATCATTAAACATTTTGTTGTCAAAAAAAAAAATCATTAAACATTTTTACATAAACGTACCTGGAACCCCACATGCAAGTTATTAGATTAAATTGTGATATTGTTTTTATATTCATATTTCATGTGTCAATTAAAACACCACATGCATATGTTCAGAATATGTTTCACTCCTCTCTTTCTATATATACAAACTTTCAAAACAATGAAACTCAAAACAGCAACATTAGCATCAAACTATAGAAGAAATCCTCTATTTGAGAAATCCAATTTCATCAAAGAAGAAATTCAGAGGACTTAAACAAGTCACATAAATCAAAACCATGGCTTATTGGTCTGCAGAAAATGCCACAAAAGCCTTTCTCAGCACTTTGAAAATGGTCAGTATATTAATCATTATTTTTCTGTCATAAGTTTTAAATGAATATATTATCTTGTAATAGTTTTCCTTTCTACAACAATTTTTTTCTGATCTGATTTTTGATTATTTTTCAATAGGATCAAAAGGCAAAAGAACCATCGGTTGCTGAATATATATCAGCATTACCAGCTGGAAACAATGCACAACTAATGGTAGTAGCTTGTGCTGCTGCAGCTTATTTAACAACATTTTCACTAATTGCTGCTGCTAATCAAACTAATGGCAATGTGATATGCATTGTACCTAACAATGAAGATTTACTTGCCTCAAAATATTTCTTAGGAGAATATTCTAATAAAGTGAAGTTCATGATTGGCAAAGAAGCACAAGAATTAGATGTACTAAACAAAGCTGATTTTGTGGCAATTGATTGTAATCTTGTGAGCCATGAAGAGATTGTGAAAGATAAAGTCCTAGAAGTATGAAGTTTAGACACACAAATTGGCACATTGATCGGGAAAGTACAAGTAAAAACTCAGGACCAAAAGACTTCATTTTTTCAAATTTTGTCCCTCACTTGACATGTAGAATACCCGTTTTATTTTTGAAGGAAGAGCTGGAGCCGAAAAGCTTTCCTAACCATGAAATTATAAAATTTTAATAAAAGAGAAATACAGTATGTAACAATAATCAGCAGCATCGTGTAAAATCTCAATCAAGTGAACCAACAAACTATTGACTATGACTTTCAGTAGATGGATACTCGAATCACTACTACATTCTTGTGTGATTCAGAAAACAATGCATATATTTCAATTCAAAGTCAATACCCATCATTATATGGGAAATCCCCCTGGCCAAATTTATAAAATAGAAGGTAAAATTCTATATTTTTATGGTAAATTTTTCTCTGTTTCAAAAATAATTAACATCCAACATTTAAATATCTTCAAATATCAATCCAATTTTTTTCAGGTCATGCAACATCAGAATAAGAATCTTCAAATTGCTCAGTTCATCAAATAAGAATCTCAAAAAGCTATACAAGCTTTATCTCAGGCAATTAAAACAAATTACAGTAAGGGTAGGCATTGACAAGGAAAATACATTGTCTTACCGTCTTAATAGGTACCGTTGTTCCACCGGATGGGTGAGAAATTTCATTTTGTCCCCGAATAATTGTTCCATCCTAATACAATGACAATGCAATATCAAGTTTTCTAACAGTAAACAAATAAACTTTCCCTAAAGTAGCATTTAACTATTAAGAAACCATACGATAATTTCACAATTAAATAGATGTATCATACCAATAATTCACACCCTAATGTAAGTCTATCATTGGTTGAAATCACTGGGAGAACAAGGCTTTCAGGGGGAATATCAGATGAATCTGACTTTGAATCCGATGAATCTGACCTGCACACATGAGAAAATAACTCAATTATTTTCAACTTTAACA